GGCCACTGCATCGATGCAGCATCGTCCATGTCTGCATCGCGATGCATCGATTATTTGATTAATTTCAACACCTCTAGTACAAGCCTAGATTAATGTAGACACCTGGCCACAGCGAGTCGGCGGACTTCAGATCGCAGGGCCGTCCAGTTCGCCCGCAGCTGTTGGGCCTCAGACAGTTAAACAGAGGATAAGATCCATCCGGCTACCTTTTTTTCTCTATTAGAAAAACTAACAATTTAACAGTTTATGAAGGACTAGTTTTGGTTTTATGTCATGTCATGTTTTTTTAACCATGTAAATTCTAAATTCTAATCTGATATTAAAAAAACCCTCAAGATTAATGCAACTTTCCACATTCACATCTTCAGTTTCAGTAGACCCAGAGTATAGAATGCAAATACTTAAACGTTTAAACTAGTGGAAGCAGATGGAGAACTGTTTTCTTTCTGCTGTCTCCCACAGGTTCTCGTAATAGAGCAGAAGAATGAGGATGGCACATGGCCCCGAGGCTCCACGGCACCCAAGTGAGTGAACGGCTTACATCACCTGGCTTATATTGCTTTGTTGTCTGAAGGGACAAAAGTTACCACAGAAATAGAATGCAATTTACATACTGTAGACAAACAACTACTGTTGGTTTACCAAAGGATTGCACATAGGCAGTGTACTACTTAATTGCTAAGGACTTTTTCACACAGTCAGATGTGACACAGCACCAGACTTCCTCATCTGGGACGCTGTCTGAAACACCTTTCAATTGCTTCTCTTTGGAAATTGCAAATTTGAATTGTGTAAAACTTTTTTTTTTTAAGTTTCTGTGCTATGTCACTACAGCACCTCATCATCTTCAAAAATTTCCTCTCTCTATGACTTTGCCTCAGACTACCTCTTTTGCTTGACGTTTTGTTGCTGACATATCCCTCTATTTAATTTAATTCATCTCAGTTTTATTTAATTGACACTGGCACACCTTCTCTGGAACAGCACCTTATTTTCTCTACTCTAACTCATGATCTATTCTTTATCTTTTTGAAGGTCATCTGGTGCTTCCAATCTCTCTGCTTTGCCAAAGATCTCGCCTTCATCTCTCACAAACAATCATAACAGCAGCTTCAACAGCAGGAAGTAAGGCTTAGTGGGTTTGAATAGCTAAGGGGTGGGTTTGGATGCCAACAGCCAGAGACAGAGCCCTGGAGTATTGCTCAGAACAAACCTTCACATTAACCCTGGTGGAAGTTCAGATCCAATTGGCTTGTAAAGTGGAAGTGGGCTGAAGAAAGTCTGCAGTGACCTCAGTTCTTGAACTTTTTCACAGCTATTCTGTTCAGTTTGCACTCCAGTATCCCAGCAGGAAGTTGGTCGAACTTTGTCTTGCACAGGTCTATCTCTGGCTGTGGTTCGGGGCTTAAATCTACCTCGTGACGATGCAGTTTGTAAGAGCTGATAGCAGGGAGGGAGAAGGGGCTTGCAAGGGATTGATCTCTTTTCAAAGTTTCTTCAGCCACAGCAGTGCTCTCTATAAATGGCCCGCTGGTGCCTCTGGGTGCCTTACTCAGCGTTCATTTTTTTGCATCAGATTTTCAACCTTACTGATTAATAGCTCTGTCTAGGGCTGCATGATTACGGTTAATTTGATAATTATTTTACCCATTACCGTCATACTCTCAACACTCAATCACACCATTCAAATAATAAAACATCTGCAATGTTTTTGGGGCACAGCTACGAGCCTGACACTGACTTGGTGCAGAATATCCACAAATCTATTTTAATTAACTAAATTGTTTTCATCGCACACCGGAATGACTTTACTGTGATTTATTTATTTAATCGCTCTTCAGTAAATCACAGTAAAGTCATTCTAGGGTGCTACATGGTCCAACAGCTGACTGTTGTTGGCAGTGCATGTGAAGTTTTGTTTATAAATGTTTTCACATTTAAATTTAGAAGGATTTTCCTAGGTGTGATCAATGTTTCTACTTTATTTATTGCTGTATCTTTTAAAGACGGCCTATGTAAGATTTCTCGGCCCACATTTCCTTCTTGGGCAGCGTTTGGACTTGCTGAAAAATGCAGTCCCCCGCATTTGAATGAGGTCAGTCCAGCGTTGCAGCAGAGGTGCCTTTTATTAAATCCTGTTTTATACACTGGCGTGCAGTGTTTACGCATCTGATAAGCTTTGAAAGTCATGGATCTGAAGCTCAGACTGGTCATCCTGGATCTAATTTCATGTAACACCGATACCTGAAGTTTTCAGCGTGAAGGCGGCTTTACTTTTATTGTTTATGTAATTCAAACTTCAAAATATTAACGGAAATAATCTAAAATCATTTCGAAAGATGCCCACATTTCCATCTTTACTCTCGTTTTGGTTGCATGATGCACGTTGCACATTCAACAGTCGTTAAAGCCCGCCTTTCCAGCTTCGCCACTGCGTGTAATGTAAGTTGATATACCACATCAGGAGTTTCAGAGATATCACAACATTTGCTAAACAAATAAAGTTGTTGTTTATCACAAAAAAAATTCCAAGTATATACTTAATCATGCAGCTCTAGTGCTAACCACTAACTGTTCCGAATTCAAACAAATCACAGGACCATCTCAACCGTCAGTAGAGATTTCCTGCAGTGCCAAAATGAATTACAGCTCACTTTGTTGAGCCTAAATGAAGGTTTGTCGCTGAGGCAATGGGACCTAGCGGCTTTGTCTGCCCTCTGCTAGAGAGCACTGCTCGACTGTGGGTGGAGCTTTCGCCTCTGCTGCCCAGTAGATTTTACTGTCCCCTCCTTCCCACCTTCTGTGTGTGATTTACTGCATGCTGGAGTGTTTCTGTGTGCGTCTGTAGATATAGAGGTCTGCATTGCATTTTTTTTTTTTTTTGATACTGTTGGAATGCAGAAATAATAGCCCGAAGCTTGGCCACCCTGAAAAATCAATATTGACAAAGAAGGAAGGTGTTGAATTGAAGTGAGCCTGTCCTTCCTACACTCACTAGCTGAAGAAAATCTCTCCAATTATTTTTCAGTACACCATACTGCTGCCTTACACTGTACTTACATTTGTACAGTTGGGAGTGTAGTTACACATTGTAATTTCACAGCTCTGCTTGATATTGTTTGATAGCAGTGGCGGATTTTTTCCTGCATACTGTTGGTGGATTGTGGAATTCACAGAGTGGGTGACTTGGGGAAATTGGATCTTCACTCCCAGCAGCTCCCCTGTCCCTGATTCACTGTAGTGCCAGAGCTGTCGTTTTCTCTGAATTATGCATGGGGCCTTTTTTTTTTTTTTTTTTTCTTTTCTCCAACCTGCTTTGGGGGAGGGGGGTGGGAAGAAGGGGGTA